AGACACAAAAAACTTGCCGTTTTTGTGCTTTCGTGCTCTGAAGATTGCCTGTGACGATTGCTACATCCATTGTCGATGAGTACCCAGCCAGGTTCAGCTTCCTCAGTGTTTGAATGATCACTAAGGTCGACATCGTGAAGCATGCAAAGACGACGATTTGAGTCAAAAACGGCAGCCTTAAAAAACTTTCAGTTTCGAGAAGAAACTCATGCAAGAGAAAAAAAAATTTATTTTCTGAATCTTTGACGTTGTTTCAAAATTTGGTGATCACTGTAGCATAGCTACATAATTCACCTTTATTTTTGGCCTTTATCTTACGTACCTTGCAAAGTCTGTGCTCCAAACAGTGTCGGAGGCATCTCGTAATGCTGTTTGACGATCGTATTTTTAGCTTGTTCTTCGTAACTTTTCTTTGAACATACAAAATAAACACCTCATCTTCCTCGCATATCACCGATTGAGCTGCAAAAAAAAATTAAAATTTTTGCATTTGGTGAATGCATGAATACTTCAACTTCGATAGTACATACTTGGTAAGCAAAATTTCTCTGCATAAATAACTTCGTCGTTTTCAACAAGACTGCCGGGCCCATGAGGTTCAGCTAAAATTCCATAAACTTCACATTTCTTTTCGAGCGGAAAATAATTCATTGAAGCGCATTTCATATATTCCCCATGAGGGTCCTATAAAAATATCCTGCTTTCAAAAGTCTGAAAACAGTAGCATTTGACCAAGCATTATCTAAATAAATGGTCAGCGTCATTACCTTGTTGGTGCTGCAAAGCCTTGCGCACTGCGACTGCCGTATACCAGCAAATATTCGTACGTCTTGTTCGTTTGCGGAAATTGGCAATATAATTTCATTACCAATCACAACGTAATATGCTGTAGACGTTGAGCATCTATCTTTCTTGTATACGCCTGAATATATACAATTTCTTCATGAAATTTTCATTCCAAGCACTGTTCCTCACGGCGATTCACTCTTACCTGGAGACGCCGTGGTGATTATTTTTGGGAACGGTGTAACAACATTTTTGGTTCCAAAAAGTTTATGAGCTGTTAAACCCGTTTGTTTGTCTGGAGTGAATTGAGCCCAGTAAACCATATCGGTTCTATCTGAACGTCCACTAGATGGGCTAGTCAAAGGCTGTGAAGTTTTTGTTGACAAAGCTGTTTTATAGATAGCCTGTTTCGATTTCCTTGATAGCCCAGTGAACAGATTCTCATTCGCCGTTTCCCTAAACAGAAATACTGTTTATGCACCAAACTTCTACTGTCAGCATGTCGTGAATTGAGGGTATGTTCAGTTTCGTTTTTTCAAACTCTATTTCGTGCCGGTAGTTTTTCTATAGTATAACGTACCGTTCGTAGCTACTTTTTAAGACAGGCCTTGTCACTTTTTCGTAAAACTGTTGTTTCGAGAAATTATTGGAAGTAGTTTTTCCTAACTGCCCAACTGCGAAAGCACCGCTACTATTCTGAAATAATAAAATATGTAAGAAAAAAACTGCATATATCATTTCTGTCATTGCAGTGCTTTTATAAGAGAATCTGCGTTACCGGTTTAGAGAACTTTCGACAAGTGTAAAAATCAAGACGAAAACTACCACTGCTAGTGCACCAATGGGATCAACAAAAGAAGATCTTCAACCGCACTCTGTTGCTTTTTAAATATAACGTACAATTTCTTTTGATTCTCAAATGAAAAGTATTCTTTCAAAATTGTCGATAAACAATTCACACCGCAACTTAATTGGTCTTATCTCTCACCTCTCAGAGGAGACATGCTTATATGTGACTTTGAAACGTTTTAGAATTTACTTTGAAGCAACATTTTAGCTTCAACAAGGATTGACGAACAGGAAAAAACTTTGACATACTACAAAGAAAAGTTTATTTTCATTAAAAGTGAAATATTAATTGTTTTATAGAGTCTTATCTTTTGGCGTATTTAGCGGTAAATCTTACCGCTAAATACGCCAAAAGATAAGAATAAGCAAAAATTTTTTTGTTTTATGTCAAACACATTGAAAAGTCTGAAACTTTTTTCGTTGTTTATTTTGTTTTATTTTTGGTATGAAATGTTTTTAGAAATTTTACCACTGGACTGTCATTATCTTTCGACAACCACTGCTTCTCAACATGACCATAATTACTTCTCCTAGAAGTCCCTTCTACAGTCTTTCGGTCTTCTTCATTTCGTTCTGTTTCTTGATCGACGTTCTGGACACGGTAAGTTTTGGCTACATCTGGTAAACTTCGCCCGTAGTTTGCGTATTGTCCAAACTTGAGCGGGTTTTGTAAATAAGGCCTATTATCAGTTGAAATTCTGGCAACGGTGTATATAGTTGGAGTTTTGCTTGGCGACTTCGTCTTCTTGAGTATGTGTAAATTCGGGTTTGCTGTGATCAAAGTTGCAGTTTGAAATTGTGCTGGTGAGCCAGCACCTAAAAAAAGTATAAATGTAATTTTTTAGTAGGTAGCCGTATAGAATCTAAATTTTAGATTTCTAAAAACGCAGCCATAAAAAATAATTTATAGATATGAGATATTTAAGGCACCAGCGCATCCATCCATTCCTACGGTTCGTCGATAAAAATCGTACCCTTTAGCTGGATGCATGATTGCGGGAGGTTGATTGCCGTCATGGTTGTATAGTCGACAACTGTGTCTTGTGTGATCGTAGACGAAAGATCGGCAAATTTGTAGCTGTAACCTCAGTATTCAAAAGTTTGAAAACAAAGCAGCAGAAGTGCTTTTGAAGTTTCAAAGCTTTTCAGTATTTTCTTCTCTTACTTCAATCAAACTTACACGTGAATAAAAAAAACAAATTATAGCACATTAAACTCTATTACTTTACAGCGATTAATTTAATGCCAATTTTTCTCTTTGTATGTTCAAAAGTTCAAATTTTGAAAAAAATAACTAGTTATTTGCCAAAGCAACTTGATTTCCTTCTAAACAATCTTATAAAAAAATTTAATGTAACTTCATAACATTAAAAAAAAAGAAGTAAAAATATAGGCTAAAAATTTCAAACGCATAACCAATTATTTCATCCAAAATTTTTTGCGCACTTTTTTCAACACTCTTTCGTTTTTTCTAAACAATAAATTAAATCTGTCGAAATTGAAAAGAGTAGATAAAATTTTTGTCAAAACTGTGATACAAAGTTTTTTTTTCTAGTTTCAACCAATGACACCGCATCAAGTTTTGTTAAATGACCGTATCAGTGAAGAAAAAGCGCTATCGCTTTTATCACTGACAATCAAACCTCTGATTAGAAATTTAATAAAAAAAAAGATCTGGCTGATGTATGATATGTTTTTGCAGTGTATACACTAAAGTCAACAATACCGTTCAATGAGACTATTATTAGACAGACATTGATCATTGTCGGTGACACTTCTCAGTTGTGCTCATTATCCCATCAAATTCAATTCTATGTTAGGCTCCTGTGGTGTAACCACCACTTATTGCCCTAAAATTTGCACTTATCACTCAGCAGAATTTTGCGATCTCTTAATTTTGTTAAAATGGTATCCAAGTTTCAAGCAGGTACAAAAAAAAGAAGAGAAGAGAGCAAAAAAAATTGCATTGTAGTTTTTGGTCCAGATAAAGAACCTAATCCAAATGAAAAAAAGTAGAAAATCCAGAAAAAAAAA